CCCCCCCACCCCCCTGCAATCTGCCCCGTTTGCTTTTTCTTTTCTTTTTTTTTCATTTTCTTTAGAATTACAGACAAATCATAGGGGTTGGAGGGGTGCAAAGTTGCAACTTGCAAACACTCACCTGGAGCCGGAGTATACACGTACCAGCGACGGCAGTCAGGGCATCCGTCCAGCGACGTGGCAACATGCATCAAAAAAACACAACAATGAATTTAAGTGCAACATCCACAACAAACAATGACGAACACAACAGAAAAGCAGTCTATCAAATGCAATCAACAATCAATTGGCACAAGGATATTCGACGCTATTATTCGTACATTGCTAGAACAAAAAAAAGAGTTTGAAATTCAGAACTTCAAAGCTAAATGTTTTAAAGTTTGAAAGACGACCATTGTCAGAAAGTTGCACTTGGAGCATCGAATACCTAAAGTTCCTAAGCTCATAGATCGAACGGCTTCCCTCTACTCAGCCTCTGCTCGATCTTCCTCCTCGTCGTCCTCGAACTGGGCCCCTCCCTCACTTCCTTCTCCATTTGTGCCTTCCCTCCCACTGGACTGAGATGATGAGGCCGCCGATGAAGAACTTGAGTCGCTGGACATGGACGATCTTTCGGGCTCGTCCTCTTCCGGACTTTCTTTCAGGACATCCAAGTCGTCGTCGTCACTTACAACGACAGACTTTTTGGCCTTCCCTCCACCTGCGCTCTTTGTGGCAGCTTTCACTGCCGCTATGGCTTTGGCCTTTGCGGCTTTGTCAGCAGCAACTTTTGCTGCAGCAACTGCAACAACAGCCTTGTCTTCAGCCACCTGCGCCCTGAGTGCCGCCTGTTCTGCCAAAGTTGGACGGCCCCTCTTCGGTGGTGGTTGTTCTTGCTGAATAACCTTCCTCTTCCCACTCTGCGCGGGCGGATCATCATCCACCACCGTTTGTTTGCCCTTGGCTTTCCCTCTCCTCTTTCTTGGCGCCTCGTCCCGGCCCTGCACCCACGTGCCTGCGCGTCGTGCTTCCATTGTGAGAGCATAGCCTGCCTCTGAGTACAATTCTCCAGGCTCGGGCAGCTGGCAACCAGACCTCCTGCGCAACTCTTGCTCGCGGTGCTTCCCAGGCTTTGTGCACTCGTGCCAGTCGCGCTGCCTTATACCAACAAGTTCAGTCTCCTCCTCCTCGACCAGCCTGTCATCAACTTCGTCATTGCGCACGAAAGTCCTCCGCATCGGGATTTCGTCTCCGTTATCATCGAAGTCGACCTCTGCAACCTCCTCGTGGTCGACATCCTCATTGACCCGCTCCAACCACCGCACACACCACTCCTCCATCTCCTTGTCCACCGACACGTCGTTCGCCCATGGGATGTGGGTGTCATCCCCCTCGCCGCGCTGAATCCTCCTCAGGAGCCGAACATTTCAGTTGACGTAGACGAGTTTCGCCATCCTCTCTGGCAACAACTTCGTCCGCCTCCTTCCATAGATTAGCTCATGCAAGCTCCAATTCCGCTCGCAGGCGGCAGAGGAGTTTGTCTGGCCAAGCAATTTGATCGCTTGTGGTACGAGGAAGTCGTGCTTCGAGCCGAACGCCTCCCACCACAAAGTTGGCAGTTGGTGGTTGGCTTGTTCGCAAGCCTGCTCCGTCGAGAACCCTCCCAAAGCATTGACCCATTGGTCGACCTGGGAGCTGACCACGTGGAGCCGATGTCGAGGCATCCAGGAGTACAACCAGATGTTGAACCCCGCACGGACCTCCGGGTCACGATCTCCATTGTGCATCCGATGCTCAGGATCCAGAAAGCCTGCAACGCAATGCAGCTCGCTTGTCAAAAATGCCCAGCGCCGCATGAGGATGCGCTCCACCGCCTCGTGTTCTTCCTCTGACAAACACTCAAGGGCACAGAGGTCCTGCACAACCCAATCCATCTTGAAGTAAACCTTCGAGATGGTTGCTCCTTGCCCATCCACCAAACAGAGCAGCTCCACCACTGGCTGCATCACATGAAACACCTTCTGCATATTGCTTCAAAAGTCGCCCTTGTCGAGGACGATGGTTGTTACCTCGTGCATTGCCGATAACTGGTCACTCCTCACCATCTTGTCCACCCAGCCCGCGTCGCACACGCAACAATCAAGAGCATTCCGCAATTCCTTCAGCGACTGCAGCATCTCGAAGTTGGTTGCGAATCTGGTTGTTGCTGGCCGCTTCAACTTTGTCTTCGGGGAGTAATGGTGGAACAAGGCCCTTGCCTTGTCCACATTCGAGAAGAAACGGGACTGACTGACTGACTGACTGATTGACTGACTGACTGACTGACTGATTGATTGATTGACTGGTGGGGGAGGGGTCTTTCCCCCCGCGATTGATTGATTGATTGATTGATTGATTGATTGATTGATTGATTAATTGATTTCTTTATTTCTTTATTCCAAAATTATTCGATCTTTTTTTTTTTTTTT